TTTTAACCCACTCACAGATGCTCCCCAGTTGTGAACAGAGCTTGCACTACTCTTCCTTGTCTGCTTGCTCAAAGGAGAGACTGCCTTGAAAAAAAGAGAACTTAGGGAGGTGATTTACCAGTCCAGCGTAAGTGTGCCTGTTGAAGGATAAATAGGGAAGAGAATGCTAACTCAAGTGAAGCAAAAAGATTTCTGTCTTGACTGTGTAACTGGGGTCTCTCCAGCGTGGAGGTGGTGGTGGTGCTGGCAATGCACACCTCAGCTACACTGAAAAACAGCCGCCAGAACAATGAGCTACAGATCACCATTAAACCAAAACAGTTCCAAGAAGCCGGTGGAACACACAGCAGACTTCATCCAGCTGCCCAGATGTGAAATAAAGGAATGCCTATATTCACAGAAACCTGCTTGGATGCCAAACTCATCTGCCTATGGCCTTCTCCGCACAAACACAAACAGCTCTTTTGTAGGTTGGGACTGGGGGCGGGGGGTGGCAGCCCGTTTGTTGGGCATCTCGGCCTGTGGTGCTCTGCTTATCGGATTCCAAATAAAGAAATTCGAACTGATCAATCGCTTCAAATTAACTGACTGAAGAATAAAGCTCCCAACAATTTGGAAACACAAACCCAAGAACAGCTCTGGAAGTTTATTTTTAAAGGAACAGCTGATTGTCGTCGCAGGAACTCATCTTCCAAGAGAGGGAGGGAGAAAGAATATCTCCCCAGCAGTGTAAGTGCAGCCCCTGACTTTCTAACAATGCTGTTTGGTCAACCAAGACCCTATTTTGATCAATTAGGAGGCTCCTGATGAATTTAGCAACCTATCTCCATAGGTTACCTTCGGTCTCGAGAGACTATGGTAACATGCTCTGAATCTAGGAGTGTCCTCTCCAGAGCATGAAGCCTGGGTAGAGTAATGTGGAGGATAGGCTGTTACCCAAGCAGCAGATCCCCCCTCTCCACGTTGCTGAAATGGTCCAATGGAAAGGCAAGAGCCAATACAACTGGTTCCAGCAACGACGCAGGAGTTGGCAGAACGACATGAACTGCCTTCGGGCCTCCAGCTCCAGATTTTGCCTCGAGGTTAACTCCTGAAGCCTTTTCCATCAGTGGATATAGCCACAAGGCAGTGGAGGTTTGCAATCGGAGTTTTCCTTCTCCTAGATGGGCTGCCTTCCAAGGCTGACGAGCCCCATCGACCTGCCCTGCTCTTTAATAGTGCAGAAGTATGATCCGACCCTTAAAACTTTCCTGCCTCCCAGGTGTATGCAAATCTAAATTTAGCAAACCAATTAAAGTGAATTAGACCCTGTAGTTCCAATCATTCCTAATATTTAAGAGCACAACCAGTGTGCACGGTGAGTTTATAGCAAGCGAGAAGGCTTTCCCAGATATTGCTTTAGGCCAATTCCCATCAACCTTACCCAGCATGGCCAACAATGAGGAACGACGAAAGCTGAAATCAACAACATCAACAACTGTAGCGCACTCTAAGTATCAGGAAACTTCAGAGAGTCCAATACACAGCAGCTAGGGATTACCCAACTCCCCTGTTACAGCAGGTCCACTGGCTGCCGATTCATTTCCAGACACAATTCAAAGTGCTGGTTCTAACCTATAACAGCCCTAAACGGCTCGGGTCCAAGCTATCTCAAGGACCACATCTGCTCAGATGTTAAGATCATCAGGGGAGACCTTTCTCTCATTCCCACCACCTTCATAGGGGTGTGATTGGTGGGGACACAGGAGAGGGTCTTCTCTGTTCCTGCTCTCAGACTTTGGAACTTCCTCCCACTGGAGCCCAAGCTGTCCTTCCACAAGCAGGCCAAGACCTTTCTCTTCAGACAAGCTTTCCCTGAGTGAACGGCTGCTGAGCGGGGTTTTAAAAATGTACTCTTGACCCTTATACTACATTGAATATGTTTTGGTGTTGCTTATGTTTTAGTATTTTATACTCGCTGTTACTAACTTAAACGCTGTCTTTTAATTGTTGTAAGCCACCCTGGGTCCTTGTTAAGGATAAAGGCGAATTAAAAATATTTTGAATAAATTAAATAGAGAGGAAAAGAAATTCCAGATTCCTGCCTCCAAGAGATTATGATATATATCTTGCCTGAAGCAAGGTACAGACAAGCATTGTTCACTACAAATGTCGTCTCTACAATACATTCCCACTGTGACAGTTTGCCCTCTTTCTTCCGACAGGAACCAGGCAGCAGTTCTGCTGAGGTTGTATCGTTCTTCTAATTTTAGCTTGGTTAGGTTACAGCAACAGAGGCGGCAGAAGGAGGTGCTGGCAACAAACCCCCCCAAATCTGCTGAAAAACTTTAACCAGGCCAGGACTACCAGTTACAGCTCACGATTAAAACCAGACTAAACATAAAGTTACAAGGAAGTGGGGACAACACGGTAGAATTCACCACGTTGCCCAGAAGTGGGTTTATTAATTTTTTTAAACCACCTTGTTTTTCCCCATTTTTACAGTCAATCTGAAGAACCGTACCCTGGCTCATGCTATTAACACTATCATTATGTGTTTTAACACATACTTATCTGAGTGAATATTTTCACAACCACACGTCTCTGAGAAAAGCAAGGCAAGTTTATATATAAAACAAACAGCCTTTTCCCCATGAAGTGGCAAGGCAAGTTTATATATAAAACAAACAAACAGCCTTTTCCCCATGAAGCGGTTTCTCTACTGTTATGGTAAACAGTAACACTATTTCCAGGATTGGTTTGCCATTAGTGTTTTCCCAGTTTTCCCATGACTGAACCAATACAGGCAATATAAACATGGCATTTAGCATAGCAATCCCTGGTTTGAGTATCAACCTAGATATGAACACTCTAGAGCAGTGGTCCCCAACCTTGGGCCTCCAGATGTTCTTGGACTTCAACTCCCAGAAATCCTGGTCACTAGAGGTGGTGGTGAAGACTTCTGGGAGTTGTAGTCCAAGAACATCTGTAGGCCCAAGGTTGGGAACCACTGCTCTAGAGATCTTCAGGTAAATCCTTGTCACTGTTGTTACAGGGATGCTCCAACCTTCTTTAGCTTTCCTGGATTCTTGTAAACGTTATGGAATAATGTAGGTCTCTGTGGGGCTAGAGGTTGAGAGTTCGAATCCCCGCTGAGCCTCCTTGACCAGGGCAGACTTGAAGATCCACAGGGTCCCTTCCAGCTCTGCTGTACTAAGATTGTTATAAAGTTAAGCCATCGTATCGACACAATTCTCAGAGGACAGACAGCTTTAGTCTGAGTAGTTTGATAGACGCTGAGGGCAATGGTGATTAACTTTTAGACCAATCAAAGCACACTACACGGACTGAGCAAAGTCTACCTATGCTGTTTCCAAAGTCATCTTAATTCCTTGCAGCAAAACCAACACAGAGTCATATGGCATCTTAAGGATTAACAGATTTCTTACAGTATGAGCTTTTGTGTATTATAGCCCACTTTATCAGATGCATGGAGTGTTAATAGAAATTCAGGGTTATTGAGAGTAAGAGGGTAGTAAATACAGAGATCATGGCAAAATCAGAACACAGACAGTGAGAATTTTAATTTTGCTGTCTTTTACTCTTCAGCATCTAAAATCTACACAGGGGTCAAACGGAAAGAGAGGTGGGGAGAAGAGAACTGGGCATCAGCAAAGGCCACAACGAGGGAAAAATGTTTCCAAACACCATATAAACACTGCAAACATTTCCTCAGTCCCTCCCCCACCTTTAATTTCCCCAGCTAGTTCTTCCTGCTCACTGTGTCTCATGCCACAATGTCTAGAACACAGACTTTCCAAATTCCTTGACTTCAATTTATGTGTGAAGAACCCCTGTAAATCGCAGCAAATACACATATATAGAGAACTGCTTCTGTCCCATTTCTCCCTGGCCTCCTTACCATTTCCCCACACTGCCCATTATACAAATTACATGCACTTAAACTGGCACCTTCAGGGGACCCATTCATGCAAGCGACTGCACAAACAACAAAGAGTAAACATTTCGGTTTCTGAGGTACAAACAGACTTGCATCCACTCTTTTTCGCTCACTTATGACACATTCTGTAGAACACGCTTAGGATTTGTGTAAGGTGCCTGTTGCTTACAAAGCTTGCCCAGTTCAGTAGAATACTCCCAACGCGCTTCTGCAGCTGAGAATTTCAGGTAAAGATAACAAACCATCTTTTACAGCAGCTTGCCTGCCATAATTGGTCTTATAAAAAAAACAACCCTGAAAAACTTTGAAGAATCTGGGCGTTTATTAGGCAATGGCTGAGAGACCAATTTACAGATTACTAACTTGCTAGATTGAATTTCACCTTCACAATGAACTCAAGCAGGGAAGTTTTCATCAACAACCACATGGTCCAAATCCCATCCTCAAAGTTTTCCACCTGTATGTCATATGAAGATAACTGTGACTGATTCTCTCTCTCTCTCTCTTTCTTTTTTTTTTTTTCAGTGAAAACTCTCAAAAAAATAAAGTGACCTAAAACACTTCTGACTCTTAAGGACACTGATAATTTGAAGAAGTCTCGGCAGCAGCAGCAGCTGAACTGAGGAACCACCATCAACCAACGGAGTGGGAGCCCCAGCTAAGCTCATGGGCCAAACTACATCAGCGGCACAGCTAACCCTGTTCTACCTTTTAAAAGAGGAGATGAGCAGAAGTGGTTGGGTGGGTAAGAGAGCAGAAAAAGAAGCAGAGAACTTAGCTTAAATAACAAGTAAAATAATTAAAACGTGGGACCCATGCAGCAGGTTGGGGATTAAAGCCAGGTCTTGGGTCCGGTAAGACTGGAGACTATACACTCTCTTTTTCTTTTCAGAAACTAGATTTTTCAAATCCTGCCCTTTATTAGACCGCGCAGTTACACAGCATCAGTGACCGCTGAAGCACCAAATGCCCTACAACCTTTCCGTTCCCAGCCTGATCCCCTTTGATTTCCTCTCCCAACAAGCACAATCCGGAAGCCCGCCCCAGCGACGTGACTTACTTGCTTCGCAGGACCCATGTCCTTCTTCTCCTCGGTCATCTTCCCGACTTTCTGCACCCTCCTGGGCTGCTTGATAGTGGTTTTTATGGCAGGTCGGCAGACATAATTCTCCAGGTTCTTGGGAGGCTTTTTAGTTCTCTTCGCTTGGAGGCCAATTTTCAGTTTTAAATTCCCTTCCGAAAAGTTTGTCTCCTTCACAGAAAACTGCTGCTGAGCATCCAATGGGCTCTCGTCTTTCCCAACCTCGCCACCCCTGTTCCCCTCGCAGCTCCTCTTCTCCTCCTCCTCTTCTTCCTTAGTGCTACCATCGAGTTCCACCTCTCTCCGACCTCCTGCTGCCACGGCAGAGGGGCTTTTCCCGGAAAACCCTTCAGAACCAGAAGCCAGCCCTAACATAGCAGTATTCTGAGGGTCCATCACAGGATGTTCTGGCAGAGGGTTTTTGCCTTGCTCTCCAGTTAAAACAAAGCAGGCGTAGGGTTTGTAGGCAAATCTTCCCAGAAACCGGTCAATAACGTCGTCTTCTCACTGTGGAAGAAACACAGACAAAAAGGGTACCGTCAACGATCAGGAGCCTTTAAATCTACCTGTCCACTAAGGGGTTAGAGATGCCATACATGGTGATGATAATATCATCACAACATAATCATGTGCCACCAAGTCAATTCTCAGTTACGGTGAGAATTTTTCAGGGTTTTCCAGGTAAAGAAGTGCCTTCCATTCCCTTCCTCTAGGGGCGCTGTGGGACGGTGCAGCTGCCCCAAGGCCACCTTGGAGGCCCAGTGGGGGGATTCGAACTCCCAACCTCTGGCTCTGCAGCCAGATCACTAAACCACTGAGCTTTCCAGCCAGCTTCATAATGACATAATGATTTGCCTGTCATGTTTTCATTGACCGATTTGTTCACTCTTATACTTGAGACCTGCAACATTTCCTAAGCCACCATGTGGGGAGAAATCATCATTTTAATAAACAAACTTCTGTTAGAGTAAATCAGGAAACCCAGAGGAAAGTTGCTCTGTGAATTGACAGCAAGCTGCTAGATCCACTGAGTGTCTCATTTTAAAATGCACATTAAAACAAAGAGCATGTTTATCATCATCAGGATGGTAGAGATATGTTTGAGGGCAGAAAACCGATAAAGACTCCAATGTTTGCGAGTTTATGAATGTCACTTTTTCCATACAACATTAAGCAATTTTTCCTCATATTTTTGTACATGTGATAACATTTATACTCATACCAGTCTCTTTTATTTCCCCCCCCCACTTGAAACTTACTTTATAATCTGACGTCAGACTCCTTACTCTTTCTTTTCCTTTCCAGTTGCATGCATGGTCAGTAATGCTATTACAGCTGGCATACTTCGTATTTAAGTTCCCACTGTTAAGTACTTACGACAACTTTCCTTTATCCCCTCAGACAAGAATCTTGATCAAGAAGCCTGTCTCATGCACTTCCACAGGTCTCCTTTTATAGCATTGCCTCTCAGTAGGTGATAGCTCAGATGGCACAGCCTCAGACGTTTAACCGGAGAGTCCAGGGTCCATGCCCCTGTTCAGACAGGTATAACTTTGGAGATACCCAGTGCGCTGTAGTGGACAGAGTGCCAGACTGGGACTCTAGGGGCCTGGGTTCAAATCCCCTGCTCATCAACCACGAAAACTCACTGGAAGAGGTGGCACTGCTAAACAATTCCTTAAATATCTCACTTCCCTTGAAAGCCCTATTAGGTTCACTGTAAGTCGGTTCTGACTTGATGTCCAAACAGTGACCTACTCAGCAGATGAATCTGGGGTGGAAGCCTTGCACTTACCAAGGCCACTCAAGAGATCACGACAAATTTTGAACTCCACTGGCTTTTTCACTGAGAGAAAACTTATGGATGACCCTGCCATTTCTAGAGATGTTTTCTTTAGAAATACGACGACTATCTTGCTAACTAAAGCTACTTGTCACTGACAAGTAAAATATCGCCAACAAATAACTGGACATGGATCCTTCTATATGCTGGAAAACAGTAAGGGAATTGGTTACAAGTGGTTCACGAGCCAGAAATCATACTAGGTTACGCTGGGTAAATGGCCCACTATGATTTTTATGGGGCAATAAAACTACTATAAATATTTGTAAAGCTACAGTGATTTTGTAAGGGTCAGTACTATACCTCAACACAGCTTATTTGGGAGAGGTCTTGGTAAACTCAATAGATCTTACTTTGGAATAAACACGTATCAAGAGCACACTGGAAGTATACTAGCACGCTTAGGACTACAGTTGTGGTCAAACAAGGAATATCATTTACTTACTCACTCAAGTTAAGCAACTAAGCACATGGAAGTCATTTGCCACTACCTTTCTGTTTCAAACTTCATCCCACATCAGAATTGGGAATCCCTGTGCAATCTATGCCACACATTTTTAAATCAATCCTGCTCTATGAATATTCATTGAAACATGGCACGAACAACAAAGGATCCCTTGATGATTCCAAGATTTTCCAATCTAAATCAGTAACGAGTTATCGTGTGTTTTTTTAAGGGCTGGACAGCTGCAAATCCATAGTCAAGAATAGCCACCACAGAAAACTTCAGTTATCTGCAGCTCTTCCTGACAATTCCAAAAACTAGACCCTGCCCCTCTCCCAAGACCCCCATGCACCCCAAAGTTGAGGGAGGGAAGCCAGAAAGGGCACAGGCTGCTAAGCGAAACCAACAACTGTGGGCCCCTGTCCAACAAGCAGAATAGGCGGAGAGCAGGTTCTAAACTGCACAGGGCAACCATGCCATTGAAATAAGAGAGATCTACCCAGTGCACTCCTTGGCACGCTCATGAGAAAAAGATGGTGCTATGTGGAGGGCTGCTGAACTATTCATTTATTTATTGCATTTATACCCCGCCCATCTAGTCAATTGACTACTCTGGGCAGCTTCCAACACATGTAATAAAACATTATAAAATTAACAACGTTATAACATCAATAATAAAATTATTCAAGATGGAAAGGATAGGAAGAAATAAATCAAATACGTAGTAACTGGAAGGGAAGGCCTGCCTAAACAGCCAGGTTTTCAATCGGCTTTTAAAAATGCCCAGCAAGGGGTCCAACTACAGCTGGATTCAGACACTTGCATTTCGAAGAGTGCTTACAAACAGGTTGTTTATAAACAAACACGGACTTGTGATGCGACTGTTATGAAGCTCTAGTCTAAAGCTCAAAGTAACTTTCTGAAAAGGTGAATGTTATCAGGCCCAAATGGAGATATTCACATATATAGAATTAAAAAAACAGCAGAAGGCCAACAGAAAATGGAAAAATAATACAGTGGTGCCTCGCTATACGATGATAATCTGTTCCACTGAAATCGCTGTTAGTGAAATCATCGTATAGCAAAAAGCATTTCCCCATTGGAATGCATTGAAACCTGTTTAATGCGTTCCAATGGGGAAGAATCGTCGTTGTCTAGCGAAGATCGGCAATAGGAAAGACACTTTGTGAACCGCCGATCAGCTGTTTAAATCGCTGTCTTGTGAAGCTTAGGTCCCCAAAACACCTGTTTTGCGAGCACAGAGAGAGCTGTCAAAATCGTCGTCTAGCGAAAATCGGTTTGCGACGTAGGGACAAACAATGTCCAGCAAAATTCCCCCATAGGAATCACTGTTTTGCAAATCGCTATAGCAACTGCAAAAAGTCAATGTCTAGCGAAAACAACTGTCTTGCGGGGTAACTGTCTAGCGAGGCACCACTGTATATGGAAACACACCAGTAATATAGCTTTGCTGGAACAAATGCAAGACAAACTGCCTTCATAGAAACTTTATCTTGGTATGAAGAGTAAAATAATCCCCTTTCCTCATTTAAGATTATCAATGGCTTCCAGTCATGAAAGCTATATGCTATTCCATACTGCTAATTCTGACTGCACGAGTACAATGTACTGTATGTGGAGCTGGCTTTGAAGACTGTTTGGAAACTTCTACTGGTCCGGAACAGTGCAACCAGACTGCTGGCGAGGACCAGGGGTAAGGAACATGTAATTTCTTTCCCATAATTGCTTCACTATTGGTCCACATCCAGGCACAGTTCAACATGCTGGTTATGACCTAATAAAGCCCTATACACGCTCTGCTGGAGAAGCCGTTCTCAATGTCCCACCACCTTGGGTCCATTTGGTGAGACTCAAGGGGGCTCCACAACTCCTTGCCAAAAGAGATTAGGCTTCTCCCCTCACTGCAGTCCTTCCGGGAGCAGGCAAAACCCTTTTATTCAGGCAGGCCTGCAACGGTTAAGATTCTCAAAAAAGATTTTTAGCTAAAGTTTTGTATATTTTTAAAGGCAAAATAATCACTGTATTTTTAACCAACTGTTTTTAAAGTGCTCTGTTTCTGACTGCATTATAATAATCTCGCGTGGATTCGATCTTACGGCTGCTTGGTCTTCTGACCCTGCAGCACAGAGGCTTCTGCGGTTTAGCCCACAGCGCCACCACGTCCCCCCTCTGTTTCTGACTGCATTATAATAATACAATACATTTAATTCTATTTTAATGTTTGTAATTTCATTGCATTTTAATTGCCTATTGTTTCTGAACTGGGCCCAATTCTGTGAAGGGTATGGTATTAAAAGAAATACTGTACTTCCAGTATTAGAGGAAGAAGCAGGACACTCAAGAACAGTTGCTGTGTGAACTCAGCTAGGACTTGTCTGTAGTAGTCTAGCCAGTTCTAGGGTTGGCTTCCTTGCTGGCCTAGTGGGAACAAAATGATGGAATATAGAGCCCTCCGGTCTAAGCCAAAAGGACTACTTTGCATATATATTTTTCATACAGCATTTTTGTGGGATATCTGGGCATTTGCGTGCATGAGAAGATAACACATCTTTGCCCACACAGTCTTGGAGTGCAGGTTCTGGTAAAGGCATACAATTCAGAGTTGTTAATGGGTGTCTCTCTGTGTGTGAGAGAGACACAGATAACTGCTAGATAGCTCACTGGTCTAGTTCGATTTCACACCGGGCCTCCATGATCAATGATCCATAGGGTCCCTTCCAGTTCTGCAGTTCTGAGATGATGATTACTATCATTATTAGAAAAAGGAAGCCTCTATTTCAATAAAGGGGAATGAGACCAAGGGTTTACAGCAGACAGTCTTGACCTCCGGCTCTCCAAAAGTGTGAGATTCCATCTCTTAGCTGCCCTAGCCGGTGTGGTCCATAGACCAAGGGTTCTGGGGGCTGAAGTTCAAAACATCTGGAGGGCCAAAGGTCGAGAATCAGTGGATTAACCCCAAGGCTGCCCACTGTTAATCCCCCAAGAAAGTTCACTGCTTCTCAAAACACAGACTTGGAGACGCTTCAACTCTCCTAGAACCTGGATGCAGTTAAGCAGGAACTGCATGTGACCCCATTAGGCTAGGATGGACATCCCACATATCTGTAACTTTAAGGGAGTATCAAGGATCCCATCTGCCTTATGAGCCTTACTTAAAAAAAAATCTTTAAAAAAACCACATGTGTAGGATGTAGTCTTTCTGTTATGAGATGATCTATTGAAATGAGTAGACAGGCTACCAAGCGGCAAACAGCTGTGAATTTCACAACACCTGTACATGCTGAATACACACACAAACACACACACGTGGATGCACATGCTGGAGTGTGTACGAGAGGCCACTGTTTGCTGTGCTGTTTCCTAGAAGGGAAATATATTTGTCACTGAAAATCTGGCACCTCTGAGGTGGTCCCCATACAAAAGAATGAACCCACCCACCGATCGATAAACACACACACAAAAAGCTGTCCTGAAGCTACCAAAATACAGTTGCCAGAGACTAAACGCCAGTTCCTGAAGTCCAACGTCATCCATCAAAGCTCCAGTGAAAGATTCCAGTCAGGGGAGCAGAAGCCATGTGCTGAAGGAGCCCACCCGCACGCCGCAAGGGTACAGCTTTCAGAAAGCCCACTCTGCCCATCCTACAGGATTCCCTTCAGCTGCCAGAGATCTAGATTCAGACATGACCTCTTTAAACAACCAACATCCAAGTAGTTTCTCTGAAGGGGAAGACGCTTCCTTCCTTCCTTCCACCCTAATAGAGTGTACTCTGTGTGTGTATGTAAGAGAGAGCATATGAAGACTCCACCTTAAACAGAGAGACCAGCGAAGAGTTGATGCTGCCCCACCCCAAAAAGGAGGCTGTAAAAAAATCTTACACATAAACTTCCACCAAGAAGGAATCTTGGATGGATTCCATCCATAGATGGAACACCGCATCTCAAAAGGGAAGGTACAGGAATGAAACACACAACCGATACACACATACAGATGTGCACACATCCTTAAATCAGCCTGCAAGAGATGAAACCCACAAAAAAGGAAAAAAGAAAGCTATACAGTGAATTCACAAAACAAGCCTGCAGGAATTTTATCTTTATACACACACAGGGCATTTCAAACATGTGCGGCTCCCAAACTCAACAGGGAGCCCTGCTGACACCGTAAAAGACCCGATTCATCGGATACCATTCCCAAAAGGAAGCAGGAACAATCTCATACAGGCATGTCTACAAGCATGCTTCCATGCACGTGGGTATGCAAACATGCCCGCTTCTCCCTTGCTGCAAAGCAACTCGGAACCTGTCAGGGAGCACCCCACACATACACAACCCACAGCAGGAATCCAAGACTGTGCCCCTTTCTCCCAAGCCAGGGGAGCATGTATTTTGTGTGTGTGTGTATGAGTGTATGGGGGGGGAGTGAGTGAGACTCTCACTTCCAAATGCATGCATAGTGTGGTGTGTATATGTGTGCATGCTTGGGAGAAGATATATGTGTATGTATGTACATGTGCATTTGCTTGCGTCCCTCAATTCAAAACACATGTATATATTTGCATACAGTATTTGGGTCCATGCAAGCTTGAGAGAATAGAAGCTTTGATGCATACACGTGTATAGCATATATAGCATGTGTGCATGTGTGTGTCCCTGACCTCAAAACATAGGCATTGTGTGTGTCTGTGGACATGCATGCTTGGAAGAAGGAAAGCTTTCATGCACACACATGCATAGGTATGTGTGTGTGTGAGTCGTTCACCACGAAAACACAAACCGCACACACCCCTCCGAAGAGGATCGGCCCCCTTTTTTTTAACTCTACTTCCCGCCTCACCATAATAAGAGCAGAAACTCCTCCCCACCGTTCAGGAGGCATTTTAGGAATATAAGAATAAGAAAAAGACGAAAAATGCAAGGAGACCTTCCCCCCCCCTCGTCTCCCCACCTCGCCTTTTTCCACAGACACAGTCCCTCAAGTCCTGGTGGTCAGGGACTGACCTCCCCCCCTCCTACAACCCATCATCCCCTCCCCTCACACACACACACACACACGGCAACCCCCCCCCCCCCC